GAAAAAGATTTGAGATTTATTTTTCAAAATGTACCCCAGCAAATACATACCAGAATTCAATTTGAAATGTAAAATTTGAAAATGAAAAAGCATTTCCAGAAATGGAAAGTGGCTGCATTACTTGACTCATAAACTAAATTAGTAATCAATCATCCGATTGATATCCCATTGAAATCTCAAATGTCTTTTTCTTTTTCCCTTTTAGTTAAGTAAAAGGATGAGCAGTCTTGAAGGAGAAAATTTAAATGCAAATCGGATGATTGATTACTGATTTTATTTGAGTCAAGTAATGCAGCAACATTCTTAAAATGAAAAAGCATTTCTGGAAATGCTTTTTCATTTTCAAATTTTACACTTCAAATTGAATTTTGGTATGTATTTGCTGGGGTACATTTTAAAAAAATAAATCTCAAATGTCTTTTTCATTTTAATTAAGTAAAAGGATGATCAGTGTTAAAGAAGAAAATGAAAATGCAAACAGGATTATTAATAACTAATTTCATTTATGAGTCAAACAATGCAGCCACATTCTTAAAATGAAAAGCATTTCTGAAAATGCTTTTTCATTTAAAATATGTTAACGATTCGCTTCCATAATCTACTAGATAAAAACTATCATTACGTTGATTTCTCTGCAGCTTATGATGCCATTGCCTGTACCAGAGTACCTCAATGTCAACTACATCTGTGAGTCGGCGTCCCGGCTACTTTTTCTCTCTATGCACTGGGCACGCTCCATACCTGCCTTCCAAACCTTAGGGTAAGAGGATTTGATTTCACTGTGAGTGTGTCCACCTTAAGCTACCTGATTCCATTGAATTCCAAACTCAAACTTCAATCTGCTTTATTGCAATTTTTTATTGCAAAGTCATAAACCCCCAAAAACATAGTAAAGAGGTAAAAAAACGAAAATAAAAGAAAGGATAACATGATATTCCTTTTTTTTTTTCCTCTTTCAAATTCTGTAGTGTCAATAATGTCTTCACCGCATTTACTTTAACACCCCTAAATAAAATGAGCACAACTCAAGCGGGGAAACAAACGTGTAGCAGACGGTAGGGATGAAACGGTTTAAGCGTTTACACTCCAGAGCAGAAGGTGGCGGTACTGCGACCAAATCCAACCACCAGTAGTAAACAAGAAGAAGAAGAAGAAGCGAAGAAGCGTAGCTGGGTGTAGCAGAAAAAAATCAGTTGTTGTGGAGAATTGTGTGGGTATGGCGAGTGGGAAAGAACAGGAGTTGGAAGACGCGCCAGCAGCACTTTATAGGTCTGCTGTATGGGACCACTTTGCATTTAGAGTGACCTACGATGACGGCGGAAAGAAAGTTGTGGATAAAAGTGCAACAGTGTGCAAGCATTGTGCAACACGTTTTGTTTATGCTAACAGCAACATGACCAACATGTCATGCTAACCCCGAAATCCCACATACTCCGTCAGCGCTCCGCTCCGCTGCGCTCCAGACCGCCTGCACAAAGCAAAGCCTACAGCCTCCACTGTGGCTCCCGTCCGCTCCGCTCTGAGTTCCTTGGAGATCGTAGAGGGCATGCGCGAGATCATTAAATTCAAAGCAGCAAAACATGCGGAAATGATCCAGGGTTTCTGTGGATAATTACAATTCATAAATTTTTGGGGGCTTTTTTCATTAATTTGATACATTTTTATGGGATTTTGGTGTAACAATCAACATATACCGAACCGAAAACCGTGACCACGAAACCGCGAACCGAACAGTGGATTTTGTGAACCGTTCCACCCCTAGCAGACGGTACTCGGGCCAGATGAGCTCAAGATTCAGCTTTTTGTCTATTTCTGTGTAACAAGCTAACATTGCAAAGCTGCATTAACATTAGAACTACCAAGGCCGTCATTTTGATGGTTCTGATATTTTAAATGAAAAAAACTTTACATTAAACATATGTTGCTCATGTTAACTGACTTATCCTGTTTCTATATATCCTTCATTTTCACATAATTTTTTTTGTGAAATATAAATGTAAAAAATCAATATGTTTCATTTTACCACCATCTTCCACAGCCCTCATTTTGACGGCTCTATTAGTTGCATTGTAAATTCTTCCTGCGGTGGACTGACAGTTCGTACCGTTGCTTAGCAACCAACATTCTACCTAGAACTCTAAAAGGGAAAAATTGCTTTCAGGAAAAATCTAACAGCAAAACAGGCTTTAGAAATGCTTCAAAATATTGATGATAGTGATTTGGGCGGAGAGCGATACCGATGAGGACGACTGGGTAGGGAGCGGCTCAGATTCTGACAGCGAGTCAGAGGTTGATCATCCACCCCCGCCGAAACGCAGACGTATCAGTGACTCTTCAGACAATAGTGAAACTTTTGTTCAATGTTTGATAGCACTGCATACACATCAGCTTATACACTCAGCAGCCCAAAAGCCAAACCAGAGCCTGTGGTCGACTAAAATCACATGAAGGTTGGCGAGGATGTGTTCATCAGATGATTAAAAAGTATTCTGTAAAAGCCCCAACGCGAAGGTGGCCTGTGGCTGTATTTTACAATCTTCTGGACATAGCAGCTTTAAACGCGTTGGGTTTGTTCAGGAACTGTTTGAATGTCACCTTCTAATGCAGAGATTTTATCCTTGAACTGGTAAAACAGCTGCGTGCCAACCACAACCCCTCCCACGCAGTAGGAAATGTAATGTAAAGTTAGTCCATAAATAATAATAGCATACAATAAAGCCTTTAAAAATATATATATTAGACCTGTTTTAAGGTCCACATTTCCACAATGGGTTTATATCGCACACTAGAACCATTTCAGTTGACAGCACCACTCATTCGTCCCATTTGGAAAAAATGTCACCCGTCAAATTGACGGCCAGTGGGAGTTCTAGTAGGATCGGAATTCTGGGAGTCTTAAGTGTTTTATGAATGTATGGATGGAACTAAATAAGAATGTAAATTTTGGATAGAAATACAAAGTCCTGACCAGAGTCCTTATGTCTTGCACCTGAAATCTTAAAGTCGTATGGAAATCATATTTAAATTTCAAATCATTCTGGCTTAAACATGGATATAAATGTACTCTTTATCAGACCATATTCTCCCAAAAGTTGCTAACTGGTTAGCAAGATGCTTCCGACAAACCGGCTACAACCAAACTTACTTGTGAACCTTCCGACACAACAATCCCGCCCCCTTGATAATCGACCAATCACATTGACTTTATTCACTCGTGTAAAGTCGGGCACCACTCGGGAGAATTCGGAATTTCAACGGTTAGAATCGCCTCTTCCCTACGACTTTAAAGCCTTTTTTAAATAATACATCCAAACTGTCCTTTATAAGGGGACATTTTACATTGATGTTAGTGAAGATTGAATTTTATGTAACTTTAGGTGAAAACGTTTATAATTTACTATTTGCTGCTTGTGTATACATTTGTATGAGTCTATAACATGTATTGTCACAGGTCCATGGGGTGGGAATACTTAAGAACACAGTTCTGCTTTTAACGATGGTGCCTTATTATTTTACAGAGGCCAGGATAATGATATTAACTTGATGAAGGCCTGCTGGAATGAGCTTTTCGCCCTGGGTCTGGCACAGTGCTCCAACGTTATGAATGTTGGTACCATCCTAAGTGCCATTATCAATCATCTGCAGACCAGCTTACAGGAAGGTAGGACGGCTGGGCGACTGGCTGCAGGCTCCCATTAATGAAGTATTATCTCTGAGACGGGAAGCAAAATGGCCGTCTGGTTTTTCCTTCTTTTCTTTTTTTTATGCACGTTCCGAGGTTTTCTGTTTTGTCTCATTTCAGAGAAGCTGTCACAGGAGAGAGGGAAAGTAGTAATGGAGCACATCTGGAGGATGCAGGAGTTCTGTAACAGCATGTCCAAGTTGGCCCCAGACTCTTATGAATATGCCTACCTCAAAGCAGTTGTCCTCTTTAGCCCAGGTGTGTAAGAATCTATATATTTGATTTTGATTTTTAAGCGTGTTAAGTATGCCTTTCTTTACTTGGTGGGTGCCGTTTCTGTGCTAGATCACCCTGGTATAGATAACATCCCACAGATAGAGATGTTCCAGGAAAAAGCCTACATGGAGCTGCAGGACTACGTTACAAGGACATACCCAGACGACTCTTATCGGTTTGTACTACATGATGCTAACGGTGTTGAAAAAGCAGCGGTGCATCAGGCCATGCTTGTTCCTCAAAGCGGGACAGATTGATGATGTTGTCACGGATACGTCTGCTTCATGTTTTTTTTTTTTTAAATCTGCGTCTCCTTTCTGCCTCATTACTCCCAGGTTATCCAAGCTGTTGGTGCGTCTTCCGGCCCTCAGGCTAATAAGTGCAGCTGTCACAGAGGAGCTGTTTTTCGCCGGGCTTATCGGCAACGTGCAGATTGACAGCATCATCCCTTACATCCTCAAAATGGAATCCACTGATTATAACAGCCAAACAGTCTCTGGCGTCTGACACACTGGGACAATTTTTTTTAAAAACAATATCTGGATTGTGGAAGGTTGACTAACAAAGCATTTCGAGAACTCATCAAGCCGGTTTTTGTATGAGTATAACAAACTAGATTTCATGACTCATTATCCGTTTGTATCTCTTAGCTTCTCCTGCCTTCTCTTTAAGCCGTTGGTTGAGCTCAGCTCACGAATGGGACAACCTCCCAAGACGTTAAGAATTCAATTCTTAAAAGCTGCAAAGCAGATTTAGCTTTTTATTGTATAGTATTTTATGCTTCATACCCGTTAAGCCTGTTTTTCTGAGAAAAAAAAAAACTCAGTTGTATTTTGAATGAATCGCACGGCTTGTGTTTGTTTTTCTTTTTTTTTTTTTTTATTCATTACTTCTCCAACTGGGCCATATTTTTTTTCTAAATGTTAGAATGATCCTAAGGAAAGAAAATGTGAAATTTGAGATTCTATCATTGAAGGTTACTACCTTTATGTGTAATCCAACAGATTGGCAGCATCATGTGTCAAATGACATGGTGTGGATCTGATGTAACTATGTATATATATTTATATATAAAGTACACCAAAAAAAATAGAGCTATTCAGGCAACATTTGGTAGTTTGTGTATGCTGTCATTTTGGGCGATGACGTGAAAATGGACAGACGATTATGTCATACCGAAATAAAAACATCTTTCAGTCTTGCTTTTGTGTGACTCCGCATTTGTGTGAACATTGTAAATAAGATGATCACTGGTGTGTGTGTATGTGTATGTATATATGTATGTATATTAGGGATGGGACGATTTATGAAAACCGTCCGAACCGTTCGGTTCGACTGTGTTAAGTTTGGTTCGTGCGCTGCTCCTTTTTCTCATAGAGGAAGCGATTACACTCCAGAGCAGAAGGTGGCGGTACTGCGACCAAAGCCGACCACCAGTAGTAAACAAGAAGAAGAAGCGAAGCAGCGTAGCCGGGTGTAGCAGAAAAAAATCAGTTGTGGAGAATTGTGTCGGACTGGCGAGTGGGAAAGAACAGGAGTTGGAAGACGCGCCAGCAGCACTTTATAGGTCTGCTGTATGGGACCACTTTGCATTTAGAGTGACCTACGATGACGGCGGAAAGAAAGTTGTGGATAAAAGTGCAACAGTGTGCAAGCATTGTGCAACACGTTTTGTTTATGCTAACAGCAACATGACCAACATGTCATGCTAACCCCGAAATCCCACATACTCCGTCAGCAACCCCCCCTCCGCCCCGCTGCGCTCCAGACCGCCTGCACAAAGCAAAGCCTACAGCCTCCACTGTGGCTCCCGTCCGCTCCCCTCTGAGTCCCTTGGAGATCGTAGAGAGCATACGCGAGATCATTAAATTTAAAGCAGCAAAACATACTGAAATGATCCAGGGTTTCCGCGGATCATTTAAAATAATTACAATCCATTATTTTTTGGGGAATTTTTTCATTAATTTCATAAATTTTTATGGGATTTCGGTGTAACAATCAACATATACTGAACCGAAAACCGTGACCACGAAACCGTGAATCGAACCGAACCGTGGATTTTGTGAACCGTTCCACCCCTAATGTATATGTATATATATATATATATATATATATATATATATATAGCTGTAGCACTATTTAATTAGAGAAGATAATAAAATGCATGTTTTCAAGAATCGGTGAGGCCTTCAAACTGTCAAGCATGGTGGAGGAGAATCATCCTGAGGGTCTGATATACGCGGTTGTAACTGGTGCATAAATTTTGCCTCCTAACAAATAGCGGTTAAGAATTATACAAAGAATTAACTTATGTACAATAATAAGGAATACATATCTTAGAAGCTTTAGTGTTTTTATTAAGAATATTTGAATTTAATTTTCAAAACATGACATCAAAAGAACCGTGAATTGTTTTCTTTTAATTAGCTTGGAAATTATATTTATTATTTGGTAATTAGCCCAAAAATAAGGTATACATGTAGGTTATTACCTGCATTTAATTATTACAAATGATTGTTACTATGCAGAAATGGAGACTTTTGTTGGGTAATTACCATCAGGTTACCACATAAGTTTCTATTATTGGCCACCACCTACCAACGGTTTATGAAGTAAATTGTAACTTCAGATCAGTTTAATAAAGTATTATAAAACTGAATTCAAGTTACATATAAATAGGAATTTTAAGATCTTCTAGGTTTACTTTTCTGTTATATGCCAAGTAATAAAACTGCATTTTACTAGATAACACATTAATTTATTGCTGTCGGTGAAATGATTTACCTGGTAATGACGGTTTGACATCTAAGTAGTCTGACTTTACCTTGTCTGCCTAAAATTTGAAGAACTTAACAAAATTCTCCATAAAGTATTTCTTGTTAACTAATAATATAGTGTAACTTGTTATGTTATTACCATTTTATTACAAGGCTATTGATGTACTGTTAAAAGAAAGCGTTACTGAAAATCCATGCTTGATATTTAGGAATCTTTTTATGTTTTCTCCTTATGTTAAAATCTAAAGATACAAATAAACTGTATGTTGTTTAAGATGTCAAAAGATTTCCCATGGCAGATATTTAACAAAAATAATAGGTTGTATTTCCTTAAAAAAAATAAAAGAATTTTATTTAAGAACACAGTCATTCCCATGGACACCTAATATAATACACCTAATAAAGCAGCTTAACATTTACCTTCTAGAAACGCCTTAACTCCATTGATAGTTTATGGATTATGTTTATCTATTTAAATAAGCCCCTTTATTTGAGAAGAAAAGTGGTTAACAATGCAATCAGCACTATGCTGGAGGCTTGTCAGCTACACAAAGGTGAGCTTAAGGGTCAGATAAGAAAAAAGATTGAGCCATTTGGAGTTTGAAGCTTTTGATCCGTTGAGTAATGCATCAGCTGTCAAGTAAGGTAAAGGCGGCACCATGCTGAGGGTCTATCTGGTATGTCTGGATTTTTCTCATGGCTGAGGCCCCGTCCACAGGAAGTCAAACCCTGGCCTAAACGCACAAATTTTTCACCAAACCAGCCTCTCATCCATACGAAGCCGGCGTTTCGGGGGTCTGTAAACGATCTTTTTTTTATTAAGCCTTCAGAGTGGGAAGATTTTGAAACGGCGTTTTCGCGTTTCCATCTTTAAGCTCTAACCGCATTTTTTTTCTTACACGCATGCGTCATAGCGTCGCCTCTAAACACGCATGCGCGACACAGTATCACAACAACAATGGCGCCGTACTGTGTTGAATGGTTGCTGCTCATGCTACTCACCCTGCTGTCAGGGCTTACAACAGAATCTTCTTCTTCTGGAATATCTCCAGGAAGAACAGAGCAATATCGACGACATAGTTCAGCACCTGAATTTGACTGAACCACGAAAATGGACCCGCAGGGCAACCATGTATAAATATTAGTGCGCATGCCCAACATTTCGTCGCCTATTTTTGCTTCGGCACCACAGCGCCACTTACAGGCCTGGCATACATTTTGCAGCGTTTTCATGCATTTGTGTGGACGATCACATTTATTTTACGTCTCCGTCTTTACGACAAACGTTCTGGAAAATATTAGCATTTCGTGTTCGTTTTGACTTCGTGTGGACGGGGCCTGAAATGAGGCTGACGTTAAGCTTGCTTCATGTTAACCTTCTTACAACAATAAAAGGCATTTCCTGATTATATACTGTCGAGTTAAAAAAATATGAGCGCTGAGAGTTGATATCCAAGGAAGAAGAGGGTTTTATTTTACTCTGCAGAGGAGAACAAAACAACCAGCCTAATGCAGCTCTCAATGATGTTCTGAGGCTGCAGCATGCCAAAACCTGCATAAAAAAGGGACTTCCCACACATCAACATTTCCCAAGAGAATCACTTTAGTTCATCAAACGACAGAGATGACAATTGTTTTCTATTCACACCAGGACATGTTTCCACCTTATCTAACCTAGGGGGAAAACTTCCTTTCAAACCTCCTTCCTTTCCTTTAATCTCAGCAAGGCTTCCAAGTAATCACTTTTATTGAGGAAAAATGAAAAAACAGACTTTAACATCACTTACAAACAGGCCAAGGAAAAGTACCATTCCACAATACTTAATGCATAACTCTGCATAAATAAGACGGCTGGTTAACAAGCCATGAATAACACATAAGTCAGCTGCTCAGGCCTTTGAATTAACGTTATGAGTATCCGTTACCATAGAATAGTTGTCATTAATCATTGAGTAGGAAAGCTAGAAAGAGGAGTCGAACATTCATAGTGAAGTAAAGAAAACATGTTTACCAACAAATTGGCCATTTCAACCGTCTCATTTGACTATTCAAAGCCTGCTGTAGTTTCCTGAATGGCTGGAATCAGTTATCAGACTTGTGTATAAGGTAAGCAAAAGCTTAATCATGCTTCTCAGAACCCGCCTCTCCTTCTGTAAACAGCAGACTGTTTACATGCTGCCTCTGAATTAATAATGTTAAATCTCTAACCTACCCCAGTGACTTATTGTCGGCTGTCGTGTCAAGTGTCCAGAACGTGGAAGATGTTGCTGCGTGCTGCAGAGTGGGCTAGACTTTCAGAGAGTGTTATTAGATGATGAATTATTTACTGGGGCTCAGCAGAAACCGATGTCTGCAAGCTTCCCCTCGCTTTAGTCACCTTGTAAACGCATCTAGCTAATTAGGACAGCAGTGGCAGCAATAAAAGATGAGTATGATTTCCTGCTCTATCTTTAGAAGACAGTTGTGAGGTTTATTCAGCGGCTTTGTGTTGCTCTGCAGAGGCCTGCCATAAAGCTACATCTGATATTTCCTCTAGTTCTCCTTCACAAATAGCTCAGGTTCTATTAGATTGGCTGGAGAGCGTCTTTTAAGATCAGTTTTCAAGCGTTACCAGCTTCTCAATTTGATTTCGGTCTGGAATTTTTTAATAAGGTTATTCTAAGAGCTAAAAAAAAAGCTTCTAATCTAAACCATTCTTTTGCAGCTCTTGCTGTCCTTATGCATGGAAGCTAAACCTTTTCTTTTTATTCAAGTTTGCAGCCTACTGATACCTTCATCCAGCTTCCCATTTACCTATTACCAGTCTCCCTGCTCCAGGGGAAGAATAGCATCCCCACAGCATGATACTGCCACCGCCACGTTTCACTGTGGGGACATTTCTTCAGCGTGAGTTGCTGTTATTTCATTTTTTTTTTCTCGCTCTGTTAGTTTGTGGATTCCTTTTCACTTCCACTCACACACTTGCTCAGATGCATCTTATCAGCCGGCTCTCTGCTCTGCCAGGGTCAATCGTGTTCGACAACCTTTAAAAAAAGAATATGCCGCATTCCAGACTGTATATTAGACTATATATGTGGTTTTTTTTGTTCTATCTGTTAAAATATATATCATTTTCGACTATCAGTTAAAGTTTTCCTATTTTTTAAAAAGTATAAATCTCCTAAACTCCTCCACTTGACTTTAATCTATCTGACATGCCTGCAGCGGAAAGCAGAGCAGCCCCCTGCTGTGATGGATTTGTTCATTTACACCCACTCACAATGCTTTGGAAGCAAATGTTAACAAAGTACAAGAACATCTTGTTTTTATTATGTTCATGATCATTTTAACACTATCATGTTTCACTTTCACATAGCAGATGTGCACACATATTCAAATAGGAAAACATGACATTCAAAAGTTT